TCCCCGTGGTATTTCCTACCGATGCTTCAGGACCAGGGATCCCGCCACCAGTGTATGGCTTGCCTGCCGGCAATGTTGTAGCAGGAACAGAACTCCCCAAGTACGAAATCGCTTCCGATAGGAATCAAGCTACAACCAATTAGATGTGGAAATGCGGTTCCATACATCAATCTCAGGGGTACAGTGAGATACTTAATAACTCATTGCAACATCTAGGATTGCAGAGTATATATTAATGAGTAATGGATAATAAGTCTTTCATAAGGGGCTACCTACTCGATAACTGCCCGCTAACCAACTCGTGAGCTCAAGTTGGCTGCCAGATGGTATTTCATCAGTAATGGCCCCAGCCAAGTTATTATACCTTGGGCATCGCCTATGAGCGCAAGGATTGCAAGAGGGAGCAAGGCGTATCTTCCTTAGAGACCGAAACCTCCTAGCCTTCATTTTAATCCGCTGCAAATGAGGCAACATTTCTACAAACCAAAGCTCGTAGACGGCTTTATCCAAAGGGCCAAGATACTATTAATCTGGAAGCGTAGCAGCCTGGTTAATTCATGTAGACCAGTAGTCACATCTTTTATGCAGCGATATGTAGATTCCTGAATGGTACATAGTATCTCCTCCCCAAAATCTATTATCACTTAATAGCTTCCATATGTTCCGAGATTGCATGCACCATTCCGACGGAGTATAGGCCGAAGCAGTTTGATTACGGATACATCCTTTTTTCGCAGGGATGTGACCATGATGTTGCAAAATGGTTCCCATCGATGATGTCAGTGACGGAATTGGAAGATAAGCAGCTCGCTTGCACTGCCATGCTTGGGATTTGGAGCTCGGATAGCAACCCTTCTCGGTGAGAGTGCAATATCCGGTCAGCCGCCAAATCCCGGGTTGCTTCCTTTCTCTCTTACATGGGATTTGTACATGCAGACTGTCCCTCATATCCGCATGATCACTCAACTTCACGGATGAATGCCTGCCCGAGAGCAATACTCTGCCCTTGAGTAGGTAAGCACGCATGCTATCATTAATGCCCAGCTGGATAACGAAATTTGGTAGGCCAGCCATTGGGTATTTCTCTGCAAGTATGGGCTTGCTGGAGGGAAAGCAGTTAGCATGGTTGAGCAAAGGTGGAGAGCAGTTAAGTGATACGGGTGAGTAAGATGTCCGGTCCGGTATGCCACTTGGCAATTGATAGGAGCGGCTCGGTTTTCAAGGTATCACTTCTTCAATGCGTCCACAGATACGTTCATGCTTGCTAATGTGATATAAGTACCTAGGCTATCCACCAAGGCGGGTAGCCAAGAAGCAGTCTTGTGGAGAGCAGGTCGTCCCAAGCGAATTTGTCAATGACGCCAAGATACAGTCAAATTGTGCGTATGGTTGCCTTCAGCAGAATCGATGCGTCGGTCGAGGCTTCCGTTGTTTGTTTCCTCTTTTCCCATCGTGGGGGTGAGATCCGCCAAGGGCTCAACCCGGCCCGCTGCAAGCCATCGAGATACGTAAACAAAAACAAGGGTTCCTTAGTTTGTCCCATATTTGATTTTTCTTTTCCACTTGAAGATAAAGGCTCAGTTGGTCCCACGTACCAGTTTCTGTCACCTGGAGCTTGATCGGAGGCTCGTTGGTTAAGCTGTGCAGAAACGGAAGCCACACGGAAGTGCGGAAGCACGGAAACGGAACTCAATTGATCCGCTGTCCCCACAAACAAACCTGGTCGCTCCCACCCCAATTGATTGGTGAGACTCGGATTGTCCAACCAAAACACTCTCGTCCATCCGTCCATCCATCCGCCCCGATTCGCATGGACAATACACAACCCACGTTTATCAAATCTCGCATCGGCAACGCGTGTGACGGCTGCAAAAAGAGGAAGGCAAAATGCGACGGCCAACAACCCTGCAGTTTCTGCGTGCGCCGCCGCCGGCCCGAGCTGTGCCACTACTCTCCCCAGAAGAAACCGCAACGCAGGCGACGGCAACCGCTTCAAGCCGGTGCGGATGGTGATGGAGTCGATGCAGCGGATGATGCCACACGAGTAACCGCACAGCCTGCAGCGTCTGCGCATCGCAACCCACAGCCGCAGTCCCCTCTCCCGTCCGTGCCGATGCGGGAAGGTTCTGCTGTCGTACGGAGGAGCAGCAGCCATGGCGGCGTTTCCAATACGGCAGAGCCTCCCTCTCTCCCTCCTCCTTCCCGTGCGGCCTCAACGCGGCCGTCAACTACCCAGGCGGTCATGGACGGTCCCGTTGATGACGCAGACGGTGACACCGAGGTTCCCAGGGAAGCCCGTCTCCTGTGTGACGCCGAGGGGAAGCTCATCTTCATCGGTGACTGTGCGCCCTTGTCCTTCTTCCAGTCGGTTCGGCAGCTAGTGACGAATCGCGTCGGGCCAAATGCCTTTGCCCCTGAGACGAGCCGGTACTCCGTCTTGGAAAACGCCCCAGCGGCGGCCACGGCTGGTCTCTTGTCCGCCCGGAATCTTGCCCCAGATGTCCGGCCGATCCATATTGCCGCCGCCGTGTCGAACTACATCACGGCGACCAGGGGCCTGGTGGACTTATTTGACGAGGCCAGGTTAGTCGAGGACCTGCTCCTGTGGGCCAATATTGAGCAGAAGCCACACAATCTGACGTCGATCATAAACTACCTCGTCCTTGCCATCGGTCGCCTGAAACACGACCAGCAGTCCGCCCAAGTATACTTTGAATATGCCCGTGATGAGGCTTGGAAGAGCTTGAACGGGAAACTCGGAGTCGGGACCATCCAGGCCTTCATCCTCATCACCGTGTATATGCTATGCTCATGCCAGATAAACAGCGCCTTTCTGGTGTTTGGTGTTGCCGTGAGAGCGGCACACTCTATCGGCGTCCACCGCACGGAGGTAAATGCTCGCTTTGGACCAGAGATTCATCGCCAAAGAGACAGGTTGTGGAAGAGCCTGCGGGTTGTAGACTTGTTCTTGAGCGCATCCATGGGCCGGCCTCCCTCCACGTCTGATGTCGACTGCACAGTGCCTTACAAATCTTTGGACCAAGACGGCAATGAGGCTTTTGACTTGCTCAATGCCTCTGTCCAGATTCTCCTCATCCTCGAGTGCATCGTCCTCGAAATCTACTCTCGCAAGAAGATATCGCTGCAGCTGACCGAGGGGATTTCGCTCCAACTCCGTGACTGGTCGTCCAAATGGCTTCAACAACTAAAGAATGTGATCGCAAACATGAACGAACCGAATAACCAGGCTGACGTTGTTGGCGCATGCCAGGTGCTGTCTTCATACTACTACGCTGTGATGCTAGTGTCCCGCCCGTTCCTCATGTATGAGCTTGTGAGGCGGCTGTCGGACAATCCGTCATCACACGGTACAATGTCGTCAAGCACTCTAATCTCTGGCAAGTCAAAGCTCGCAGACGCATGCATCGACGCCGCCAGTCTCATGGTGGACCCCGTCCTCGAATTGATTGACCATCAAGTCCTCAATGGTCCCGTGCCGCTTTTGGTGTAAGAAGACGTCCAGACTAACACCGCCACTCCGGACTGATAGATGGAACTTGACTGACGCCACATATAATAGCTCATGGCTCTTCGCCTCATCACTCGTTCTAGGCGTGGGCCTACTTGGTGGCTTCGGGCGAATCCTCGAGAAGTACACACGAATGTCCATCAGAGCTCTCGACCACTTCTCCCAGTTCGACACCCATGCCACCCAGTACTCGCTTATTGCCCAATCACTTCTCACGACCGCCTTAGAGCACCTCGAGAAGCGCGAGCTGCAAGAGAGACTTCGCCGCACAGAGAGCTCAAGCCAGCTCTTCGGACTAATGCCGCATGATAACCCCAGCCCGACCGGCCGATCTCCCATGCGAGCTACTGCTATGTACTCATCCTCTCAGGTGGCGAGTCCGATCCCCAGGCCTCGCGAGTCGGTTGATCGGCCCTACTCCCAGCAGACATCCATGCAGGCAGTTCCGCCCCCCTCCCCCCGCTTTGGAAACCTCGACTCTGCCTTCATGGGCCTGGACTCGCTGATGCCAACACCAGACGGAACGTTCTGGATGTCATATCTTCAGGATAATGACCAAGGATCTGCACTAAATCTGTTTCCATTACTTGATGCTGGGGGTGGGATCGATCTCGCGCATCATCTCTAGTCCTCCCATCTGCGATGATTCAACACTTTTGGTTTATGAATATCCCAACATACCTAAAAGCACTCATATTGTACATTTCGTCAGCACATAGAACCTAGACATGCCGCCTCACATTATTTCCACAATACTTAATGCCGTTGCAACATGATCTGGGACATTGTCTTGCTTTCTTAGCATCACCACATGCTTCGCTCTTGCAGGAAATACTGCAAATACAACGCAGCAATGACGGAACTAGACTCATGAACTATGATCACCACACCCTCTGCCAAGAGTCCGTTTCCGGCGAAATCATTCACAAGGTACCTCCAGCTGAAACTTCGCTCCATCCTAGCCGATCAATAGCACCGTTGGCGTGAAGTTATCTCCCCCAGCCCTACACCAACGGTCAGCCCGACAGGGGGGCCGGGAAGCCGGAAATAGTTGGCATCCAAGCCGTGTCCTCTTAAGGGATTCATGACGTAGCTGGCGGCCACGGTCCTTCTTCTTTGGAAAGATTTATAATATGGTTGGGGATTAAGGCCTAGACTTAAGCGCACTACGTTTAAATGATGGGTGCTAGGTGGCTGCTGGCAAACTGCCTCCAACTCAGACACAGCTATCTGATAGGCCTTGGCTCACATCATCAACCACACCTCAGTCAGGGACTATTGTCTCTTGTCCTTAACTGAGTTAGGGTGGACTTGTCAATTCACCTCAGTCATAGACACGAATATACTGGTTAATGACACAATTAATTATTAACTCATTTACTAAACCGCAACCTCAATCCTCCCATCCCCTTCCCAAGAGCCCTCTCCCATCCCCCTCCCCCATCTCCTCCGCACGTACCGGTGAAGCTTTCTAGTACTTGCCATAGCTGCCGTACTTTCCATAGTTTCCGTAGTCCCCATAGTTGTTTGGCTTGCCACCAGTGTCCTTGTAGTCGCCGTAGCTGGCATAGGTAGGGGGCCCGTCGGGCTTGACGTCCTTGTAGTCGCCATAGCTGCCATACCCTCCGTCTGGGGGCTGCTTGTAGTCGCCATAGCTGCCGTACCCTCCATCTGGGGGGTTCTTGTAGTCGCCGTAGCTGCCGTACTTGCCCACGCCCGTGTTCTTGTAGTCGCCGTAGTCACCATAGTCGCCTGGGTTGGCCTCGGGCTCAGCCTCTGGGACAGGGGCGGCGAGGAGGACGGGGACGAGCCCGAGGACGGTGAGGATGGTGAGCTTCATTTTGGAAAGCGTATCGAAACAATTAAGAATTTTGTGATTGATATAGCGAGCGGGCTGGGGTTGTCAACAGTCAAGGTTCTTAGAGTTGATAGTATGGATTATCATGGAGAGGTGTCCGGGAGCTATAAGGCCTTTAATGCTCTCGCCTTACAGCCCAGAGATCAGAGGCTGAAGCTGGAATCCTCGGCACATGATGCTCATGCTCAAACATGTTCTCCACCCGCGATCGCCAACTTGATCGAGGATAACCTCATCGGCGACCACGAGATAGAGGGAATGCCGTAGGGCAGTCGCCTTACTGCAACGAGGTCTAGTCAAGCACGGAATCGAAGGCGAGGTCTGGTCAAGGTTCAGATAGTCGAGAATTTAACTCGACCTGGCTCCTGCTGCGCGGAATGTGACCGGGGTCGTGATCCCCAAGGGTCTTGTCTCACATCGATACCCACGATGATGCGATGTCTAGAATCGGGCGAGCCGTGCTAAGTCGTCCCTCAATAGGCACACACGCCCGGAAACGGCGTAGCATGCAGATACTAGCCGCTGGCCGATGAATGTGTGTGGGCCGGGAAAAAGAGATACGAGAATGCGGGGGACATGTGAGTGAATGGGAGCTTTGATAGGCGGGCGAGCGATGACCTACTAGAGCTGCGGGACGACATTCCAGTCAAACTCAATTTCTGTATGAGGGGAAGGACGAAGTGAGCGATGACCGGTGAGATCTTCCCCCGTTGATTGCTCCCCGATTGGTCCAGGCCCAGGCTATCGAGGGCGAGCTGGCTTGTTGGCGCTGCGGGTTAGTGAACCTTCTTCTGCATGTGAGAGATGAGATGCTGGTCTGTGATGCAACGTGATGATACCAGGCCCCGGTGAGGATAGCAGGATGCCTGGCAAGCAGTTCGGCTGCAGTGGAAACCAAAACCACGCTGCTGCCATTGATCAGGTCGGATGGTCACTCCCATCTCCCGTTTCACGTCTCCCCTCTGTCGCCTCTTCTCACTTATTTTCCTCCATTCCTTACATAGCTTCAGCTCGCGGGAGGTTACCTCATCACCATAATGGCCAAGGAAGAACACCATCCGCTCGTTGAGGGTCAGGATGTCGACTCAGACGAGTACGAAGATGGTCCGGAGTCGTCGCGGAGCCGGGCGGCATGGTCTTCGAGACAGCAGAGTCGTCCCGGGCCATGGCTATCGTCTCCCGTCTTTCGTATGGTCGCCGTGGCCACAATCCTCGTCCTCTTCATCGTCGTAGCGGCGGTGATTGGGCTGCAGTTCCTCTCCCTGTCCCAACGACCTTCACCTCCAGCAGGTCCAGAGTGCGCGGCACGCACGTCCATGTGGTGTAAGCATCTCCATCTCATCCTCCTCCAGATCATGTGAACACGTGCTTCAGTGGCTCTGCTGTTCCAGCGTGGGGAAGAATGATGATAGCTAACACCTTCTGTCAATGCAGCTCCGGTCCTACGCGATATCCCGATGAAATACGCCCCGGTAGACTTCAACGGTTCATTCATGCACGAGAACATCTACCGCCAAGTAGGGTCGCCGGAAGTGGATGCCGCGTGGGAGGCGCTCGGCGTTGACTGTAAGTGCTTCCCAGCACTCTCATTATCTCATAACAGCTCCCATTTGACTCCATAAACAGATCGCGCAGGTGCCATTTCCTATGAGGATGGGCTCGCCAGCGGCCTGGATGAGTCATACGCGCAGAGATCGCCGCAGTACGGAGGCGGGTTCATCGTCAACGTCGAGGGCATGCATCACCTCCACTGCCTGGTAAGAGACAGAGATTTGCTTGATTCACATGCTCGATACTGACCTCATGCAACCCAGAACCTAGTCCGGAAAGCACTGTACTTCAACTATGATCACTACAGGGAGCTGGGCCACCACGCATTCAAGAACGACGAGTACATTCTGCGCCTGCATGTCAGTAAGTAACAGCGTTCACAAGCTTATCATTGCCCACAATGCGACTGCAACCTCCCTCATACGTCACTCAACAGTTATCATGTTAACTGGCCTATCCAAGCGCACTGCCTGGATACCATCCGCCAGGTGCTGATGTGCAACGTCGACACCGGCGTCCTCGGCCAGGTCTGGGTTGATCCTGAGAAGCCCAACGCTTTCCCGGACTTCAATACCAGGCACATGTGCAAGGATTACGATGCCGTCCGCCGCTGGGCCAAGGACCTACAGGTATGTCTTTCTGTCTGGGAATCATGCGATGACATCCATTCACCGACTAACTCCTCCCAGGCCCCTCCTTTAGAAGAGGTACCGGGGGATTTCCTCGCTCCGCCCATCTACGGTGGTGTCATGCCTAACACACCTTAGCACACTGCCACAATAGGTGTAATTCACATGTAATCAATCATGCTTCATTCTAAAGTGGCTGCTACGTTGTACCTTCATGCTTGATCAGGCATGATGCATATTTGTTTTCCAAGTGGGTTATATAGCAGTCGCAGGAGGCGAATCATCGTCAACAAGGGTATATAGACAGAAACAGTCAAGTAATAGGATAATTTAACACAGAATCATATCTTGAATATTTCCTTTTATTCATTCAGTTCATGTCATACGTGTTACAGGTCAGGTACTCCCCCCTCATCACATGCCAAGCACGTTGCAGTCGTCATTTTACATCTCATCCCTCTCATCCAAATCCCATCTCACTGCTCCTTTTTCATCCCGAGCGCGCCTCTTAGGACCTGCATGAACTTCCAGACATCCTCGAACCGCGAGTACAAGGGAACCGGCGCCACCCTGATCACGTCAGGCTTCCGCTTATCGCACACGGCGCCGTTCTCCTCGAGCGCGACAATAACACTATCCAACAGTCCCTCGGCCAGCAGCACGCTCAGCTGCGTGCCCCTCTGCGCCGGGTCGCGCGGCGTGATGATCTTGAAGAGCTCCTTACCCGACTCGGCGTTCATCCCGTCGAGCAGGTACTCGGCGTACGCGGTGAGGACGAGCGCCTTGCTGCGCAGGTCCCGCATCGTCGTCTTGCCGAACACCGACAGCGCACCCGACAGCGAGGCCAGGTCGATGGCGGAGGGGTTGGACACCTGGTACCCGCCCGCGCCGGCCGTGGGCACGAACCTGTTGTCCATGTTGAAGCGCACGCTCTTGTCGCCGCCGTACCACCCCGTCAGGCGGGGGCGGTACGAGGGGCGCCCTCCCTCAGAGTTGTTGCCCTCGGGCCACTCGACGCCGCCGAAGCGCTCGTGGACGAAGGCGCCGGCGATGGAGCCCGGCCCGGCGTTGATGTACTTGTAGGTGCACCAGCAGGCGAAGTCGACGTCCCAGTCGTGCAGCCTCAGCTCGACGTTGCCGGCGGCGTGGGCGAGGTCCCAGCCGACGACGATGCCCCTGGAGTGGGCGTGGGCCGTGATGCGGGGGATGTCGAAGTACTGGCCCGAGTAGTACTGGATCCCCGGCAGGAGAAGGAGGGCGGTCTCGTCGCCGTGCTCGTCGATGGTGGCGAGGATCTTCTCGGTGGGGATGAGGAAGTTCTCGTCCGGCTCGATCTTGACCATGCTCCGCTCCGGGCTCAGGCCGTGCCAGGTGATCTGGCTCTCAATGGCGTAGTAGTCGCTGGGGAAGGGCCGCCACTCGAGGATGATCTTGTGGCGCTTCTCGGTGGGCTTGTAGAAGCTGGCCATCATGAAGTGCAGGTTGGCCGTGAGCGTGTTCATGATGACAATCTCGTAGGGCGAGCTGCCGACGATGTCGGCCGACTTCTTGGCACAGTCGGCGGCCATGTCCTGCCAGTTGGTCAGGGGGGAGTTGCCCAGGTCGGTGAAGTGGCCACCGACGCCGATGGAGGCCCATGTCTCGAGCTGGGCGTTGATGTACTCGCGGACAGCTTTGGGCTGGGCACCCAGCGAATTGCCCACGAAGTAGATGCCTTGCTCGGAGCCATCGCTGGATGAGGCTCCGTTTGTGGATGACCCATTACTTGTGCCATTTTGTTTTGTAGAGGGATTGCCTATGACAAGGGCAGGGCAAGTCAGCTTCACAGGTCAGGCTAATAGCTTTGGAAGAGCACATACCAGGAATGGTTCCGTCCAGAGCCTTCTTCCTCAGAGACGCCCTGGTGGGGAGGATGAACTCGTCCCGCAGGTGGCTTAATGAGTCTTGGCTGTCGAGGTTCTGGGCAAAGGAGAGGTTGTTGGCCTCGGAAGGGAAGCCAGCAGGCTTGCCGTTGCGAAGACGGTCAACGAAGGATGACAGCTCCATGACGAAGGCCGGGAGTCAGAGACGGAAGATGATGAGCTATCAGACCGGGGTGGAAGGCGTGATCCGGGAGCAAATTGTGCAGTGTCGTACGATGTGAGCTGTTGTAACGGGGACATAGAATCAGAAATGATGATTTATATCCTCAGGGACTCTCAAGAGCGTCGCATTTCACACACTTTATGCACCAGGATCCGACAGCTGGGGGTGGTGGTTTTCTCCGATGCGGGCACAAGCGGCTCCTCGTCAATCTGCGATATCGCGCAGATCCACCTCTTCTACCGAGAGTCCGGCCGTCACTGATTATGAATACAGGAGAGTTCAATTGTTCCGTTCTTCCGCGCTTCCGTGCTTCCACCAGCTCGTCGCTCGCCCCTCCACACTTCCTCGCTTCCTCCAACACGACACTCCTCCCACTGCTGATCTAAACCTCATCTTGCACCCTGCATGAGATAGGTACTTCCCTTTTGAGATTTACACTACCAGCGATTCGTAGAGCTGGCACACCAGCAGGTGGAAGGAGGGAAGGGATGCGACGGATGTCTCACCAGGACGAATCTACACCACGGAGCTCTATCAAGCATGCATGGAAGTTCCGTCACGTGTGTACTCCAACCTCTGGGCTTTGCATGACTACATGATGAAGTAGATCATTCAAGATAATATTATGTCAACCGTGCGCCCGGATCCATCCAGCATCATGGGGTCATCAAATTTGAATATGCGCGAACTTTCTGCGCCTTGTGATCCGTAGTGGATCGCGGAAGCGGAAGCCAAAATGAAGCTTCCGTGAAATGACGATGGCCCACGGGAGAAGCATCCATGGCAATGGAATACTCGGAGCCGCGTCCTCTGAAGACAAACAACTCCCTCAATTCCTCTTCAATGGATTCTTATAGATAATGCTAGGCTCTGCAACTATCATGCGTCATTGTTTCTCTCGTCATCAGCAAGACAAAGCACAGTTGGCTAATACAGAGAGCCAAACCACAAGACAGCCTCACGCAACAGGTCTACCTTTCAACGCAACCCAGAGAAAACAAGCTTCCAATCATGTCGCCGCACGCAGTACCGTTCGAGACTCCCTTCCAGAAGTCCCAGGCAGACCTGCAAGAGTTTCTCGTCACAAAAAATGCCTTCCTTCCAGAGAGCAGTCCCTTGGAAAGACTACCAGACTCATATTATGAGCCTTGGGAGGCGATCGCCAGGGAGTTGCCGAAACATATTCAGCAGGACACCATCCGCAAGGTTGTGGCCGACCTCCCAGTTCTCTCCACAGACAGATTACAGTCGGTAGAAGAATGGCGGCGCGCCTATGTCATCCTAGCCTTCATGACCCATGCCCATATCTGGGGAGGTGACAAGCCAGCAGAGGTACGCAAAACTCCATTCAAGCGGGACAGTCTGACCACATGCCTCATCAATCCTGAAGCTTCGACAGTTGCTAACAGTACTCTCGCAGATCATCCCTCCCCAAATCTCCATCCCCTTCCTCAAAGTGTCCTCGCACCTCGAACTCCCGCCCGTCCTCAGCTACGCCGCAGCCAACCTGTGGAACTTCTCATGCTCGGGGCAAGACTTCACAGATCTGGAGTCGCTCAAGACGCTGGTCTCCTTCACAGGCTCCAAGTCAGAGGACTGGTTCCTCCTCATCAGCGTGGCCATGGAGGCCAGCGGGGCCGGGCTCATCGACACGATTCTCGAGGCGCTCAACGCCATCAAGACGAGAGACTACGAGGTCATCACCAACGCCCTCGGCGAGCTGGCCCGGCGCATCAGGGAGGTCGGCACCCTCCTGGAGAGGATGTACGAGCACTGCGACCCGATGGTCTTCTATCACCACATCCGGCCCTTCCTGGCCGGCAGCAAGAACATGGCCGACTCGGGCCTGCCCAAGGGCGTCTTCTTCGACGAGGGCGAGGGGAAGGGCGAGTGGCGCCAGCTCCGCGGCGGCAGCAACGGGCAGAGCTCGCTCATCCAGTTCTTCGACGTCGTGCTGGGCGTCGACCACAAGGGGGATGGCGGTGTCCCGCCCCCGCCAGGGGAGAGGACGTTCCACCAGCAGGTCCGAGACTACATGCCGGGCCCTCATGCACGGTTCCTCGTGCATGTGGAGCGGTTGGGCAGCATCCGCGAGCTCGCGCTGGCCGCGCCAGCCAACACCGGGGAGCAGGAGGAGCTCAGGGCGGCGTACAGCGCGGCGATCGACGCGCTGACAGACTTCCGCAACAAGCACATCCGCATCGTGACGCGGTACATCATCCTGCCGTCCAGGCAGAGGTGGGACGGAGGGGCCCGGCAGAACCTGGCGAGCGCCTCGTCGTCCCTCGGCAAGGAGACGGGGCAGCTGACCGGCACTGGGGGCACGGCGCTGCTCCCCTTTTTGAAACACTCGCGGGACGAGACCGCCAATGCCGTCAGACTGGGGCGGTGAGGCGGTCGGATGATTCGAGCGGAGAGACGGGTCCGGGGTACGTTTTGCTTGGAGTTGGGAGCGAATCAGGCATGTGATTTAGGGGGGTCGCTATTACACGTAGAGGGCGATTTGATAGACTGGCTGGCAAAAGCAAGCAGGCAGCCCATCGGGCATTTGCGCATATGGGCTCATATAGAACAGCTAATGAGTTACGACAACATCAAGTATGATACGGGAATTGACTGGGTTTGATTTGCTTGTTTCTCTCACACTGTCTGTCATTCACTCACTCTGTCGGCGGTCAGTCTCACGTCTGGCCCGCGGCGACGCTAACTCAGAACGCGACACAACGGCATGGATAACAATTTCATGGCGATAGTAATAAACGAGTTGAATGGTGAGATGGAGGGAGGCCCTGCGTCGTGTTCTGTTATGGCCCCACCCCATCTCATGCCTCTCTAATCTCCCGCTTCACTTTTCAGCTCTGAGCAAGTTGGGCTGTGCTTGGCTAAGTGCCTTGGATCTCAGGCAGAGATTATGGGGATCCACCGTCCCAAAATTAGAACGAATTGGGCCTCTCGCATTCGCTCCACCCACTCACTCCATCCCACTCTCACTCACACGCATTCACTGACCGCATCTATTACATGCATCGCAACCACCAGTGAGGCATGCATGCAACCCAACTCAGATGGAAACTACCAACTACTCGAGCTAATCGGTAAACGAGAATATCCCTTCTCACCTCTCTTTCCTGCAATTTCCTCCGTCCTGTTTCATCAGAATGTGGATCCCCCAGATCTGCAACCTCCCAACGCGGCCACCCTACCTACTCGTCTCTGGGTGACCGACGCGTCCGGTCTTTGTGCGGTCGGTAGGCCGGCTCTGCACGGTGCTCCCTAGACCATCTGATGTGCTCCAGGGCACTCATCACTGCGACAGTTGTCAGTCTCTGCTGCTGCTCGGGCCATCCATGCCCCGCCACCTCTCTGGATGCCTTACCCTTGGCTTGATGACGAGTTGCTTCACTGTCCTCGTCCCATTGGTCCTCCGGCTCTCCCGATTGATCCCTCCGCCCTGCTTCCCGCAGCTCTATCGAGTCATCTGCGTCGGGCGTCACAAAGGACTCTGGGCTGGTGCGAGCCGTGCTGTTGTCCGGATAAGCCACCCCATGCCCAGCCCCTTGCTCCTCCTCTTCGTCGTCTTCCTCGTCCTCCTCGGTCTCTGCATCCCGGTCAAAGGGTGGATCTGGGCAGAAGACGATGTAGTCCGGTTCTGGTAGCGGCTTCTTGCATGTGCAAGCCCTGGCCGCTGAAACGCCGCGTCTGCTCCAGCGCCTGTGGATGTGTGATTCCAGGGACGAACCAGAGTGAGACCTCCTGCTGGACCATGGCTCGAGGTCAATGCCGCCTCTGACGCTTCTTTGCTTGCTGCAGCAGGTGCTGTAGCTGCGTCGGCTGCTTCGGTAGTCTCCGGTCCTGTTCAAGGCGCTGTCCGAGTCATAGTATCTGGTCATGGCGAACTGGGCTGGGCTGCGATCCTCCTCACCGAAGAGGGTTTCAGGGCGATGCAGCATATCCGGAGAGACTGGCGGGTACCTTGACGGCATGTTGTGTGATGTAGTTGAGCGAGTCAACGAAGCTTCGTTTGACTGGTTTGGACCTGGCCGTGCACAACGACGGTGGTGTAAGTAGCCGGGACCGGAGGTTGTCCAGGCAATGAGTCCAGTGTCCCTGGTGATGTGTCTTCCAAATCCGAGTGAATTTGGATTGTTGATGTGGCTTATTTGATAAAAGGCAATGATTGCATAAGATGGGGTGAGAGAAGGTAGGAGGGGAGGATGAAGGGGGAGGGGGGAGGGGACTTTATAAGGTGGGAGGCCAAGCCATGCTCAGCCTCGAAGCCAGCCAATCACATCACCCCTCGCCCAACGTCACCTCCTCAGGTCACTCCTCCTCCTCGTCCATCCATCCCCGCACAAAGATGGAATTGCCTTTTTACACTTCATCAGTAACCTGTCCTCCATCCAGCTGCCGCGCAGCATCATCGCCGCAGAGACCACGTTACATACCAGACAAGGTCACAGGAACTGCCAGAACGCCTAGGCCTGTGTCCGCCGCGGCCTCTGCCTGATATTGCGGCACGGCATCCGCAACCATGATGAACGGTAAAACCATGCCTCGCTACTCTCGGAACGTGTCCACTGGCCTTCATACACATTTGTGCGTGGGCCAAGGAGAGGTGGGTGACAGGCATAATTTGTGGTCGGTAACCCAGGCGTCAACGACCGCAGTCCCTCAATGGTTGCGTGCCATCGTGAAAGTTTACATCCTACCCACTCCCGGAGCCTACCGAAATACCCTGCCGTCGCCTGCCCTCCGGAAGTGGACGAAAACCCAAGCAAGAGTGCCTTGCGATTGACGGTCCATGTCACATCACCCTCCCAGATCGCTGTGACCACACCTTGTTTGCTCACCCGTGCTTCGCCACCACAACCACCATATAAGCATAGTTGTTCGGTAACTTTCTCTGCGATGATGTATGTCGTGCACGACGCTACCAGTTGACTTGCAGCCTTTGTTCCACTAGCCCAGCCTGTTCCTGAAATCAATTCTTTGTTGTTCGGCTGCATCCCACAGGCCAATGTGGAAAAAGGTCCCCCCACTCCACTTGACCGGTGGCGGGCCGTTCATCAAGCACGGGTAAGCCGTAGGCCCATGTAAATCGAGCTGAGAGTAAGAATAGAAATGGACAGGCAATCGAATTAGATAGGAAAGTCAAAAGTTCCAGCGACAAACTGCAATTATGCCGAAAATTTTTTCCATTGCCTTCCGTCATCAATAATGGCAATTTCTCACCGGCGGCTGCAGGGTAGATCTCAAAGCGTCGGTCTGGTGGCTTTGCCCATTTCACAGACACGCGCTAGAAGACGCGCATCGAATGTCATCTCCCTGCCAGTCGAGTCCTGCCCTTGGCCACCCAAACACATCTCCTCCTGAACAAGCAAAAGAACAAACCAATTAGTTCCCAAACACACAGACTCCCGTTGCGCGGAACCATGCCACCTCGCAAACGCGCCCTCGACGCTGCTGGGGATGGCGAGCCCCTCGCGAAGAGACGCTCATCCCGCCAGGCAACAGCCGCCGCCACAGCGTCAGCAGCGACGGCACAGCACAAGGCAGCCACAGCCTCAGCCAAGGCTGTGCCCACCACCACACTGGCCAAGAAGCAGCAGGAGAAGAAGAAGGCTGCCTCCAAGGATCCCGCACCAGCCACAAAGCCCAAGGGCCGTGTCGCCACAAAGACCAAGGCCAAGGCCAAGCCCAGGGGGAAGCCCAAGGCTGAGGCTGAGGATGGAGACGAGGCGGCGGCTGACACCGAGGAGCCAGAGAAGCCTTCAGCCTCGAGGGGGAGGGACGTGACGCCAGACCCAGACCCAGCGTCCCTCCCGGTCCAGAATCCGGAGACTGTCCGCCACGATGGCGAGTGGTACTGGCTCATGAAGGCAGAGCCCGAGTCGCGCTTCGAGGGGGGCGTGGACGTGCGCTTCTCCATCGACGACCTGCGCGCATGCACGAAGCCAGAAGGATGGGACGGTGAGTTGTTCCCCACACGCCTTCTTCCCACCCATTGTCCATTGTCCATGGGGAGGAGACCTTGGTTCGCATCTTGGCTGACCAGACGAAATAGGAATCAGGAACTATGCAGGTGCGCTCATCCCTTCCCTCAATGTTCGGATGACCAACAGCTAATGCGCCAGCTAGCACGCAACAACCTGCGCGCCATGAATGCAGGCGACAAAGCCTTCTTCTACCACTCCAACTGCAAGACCCCCGGCATCGTTGGCACAATGGAGATTGTGAGAGAGCACTCAGAAGACAGTAAGCCCCCCTCCCCACAATCACCACACCAAACCCCTCCCATCGTTTCGTGACATGTCGCAAAAGACCAAACTTACGCATATTTACAATAGAGAGCGCCCGACGCCCGGGAACGCCATACTACGACCCCCAGTCCACCCGCGACAAGCCCAGGTGGAGCCTCGTGCACGTCGAGTTCCGCCGCAAGTTCGCCGTGCCCATCCTCCTCCCCGAGCTGCGCGAGCTGGGCGCCGCGGGTGGCCCCCTCGCCCAGATGCAGCTGATCAAGCAGTCGCGGCTGAGCGTGAGCAAGGTCAGCGGGGACGAGTGGCGCGCGCTGTGCGAGCTGGCCGACAAGAAGGCCAGGGACGCCGGGCTGGAGCATGAAGATGCGTGAGGGAGGGGGATCGGGTCTTCGTCCACTCGGACAAGGTCAGGATGTCATTCATTCATGTTTGGGAACGAGGCATGTATGCACTTTCGTTCACCGGTGATATCCTGAGTTGGTTCATTCAACTATTGGCTTTAGCGTGAAATTCTATTTCATGAATGGGAAGTAACTGGTGCTGTTCTAACAGATGGGCTACCTATATGCAGCCATCTTGAAGTTGAGTTTAGCCCACTCAGGCATGCGAGGTGCATCAATCGCCGGCCAACGCCAAGCGCTGACCTGGATGTGATACCCTAAGCTGTCCTCCTCAGCTGGGGACAGAAGAAATGAGACATTAACTTCAAGGGTGGTTGTGTAGACCACTTTCTACGATGACAAGTAGAGCGCGGCGTTATAAAGCGATATGAATTGAAAATCTTAAGATATCACCTCTTGGGTGTTTATGATTGGCCCTCAACGATCTGATGATACCAGTCGCAGGCTCGAAAATAAGTAGTATAATAATGTTTGAGTGTCTCAAATCCAATGTCACCGTTGCTCATGCAGCCAAGTCCCATCCGTCCACTACGTGATCTCCACAGCCGCTCTTCACATATCCTCCTCTCCTACTTCGATGACCAAGTTGTGCCCTTACATCAAGGTGATGCCAACTCCCCCTCAGCTCGCTTCACTCCTGCCGAGCTTAGCCATTCTCGGGTGCCAAGTATTGTAAGATCACACCGAAGCTGGCCGTGAGGGCAGACAAGCTAGCTCTTCCGGGTGTGTGACAGCGTACATCCATAAGCTGCTGCACCTGCAGCTCCGGCCACTTGCATGCTGTTGTCATATATCATACTACTCCCACATCATTAAAACAGTTAGTTCTTCTCGCGTTCCCTGGACCTACGGCCTCCCGACCTGGGTTCGCCACAGGCGTTCGTCCTGCGTAGGCTGCAAAGCAGGTGGTCTCTAAGATGATGAATCGCATCTACACCGCCGGTTCGCTCGGCCCCCCATTGTCCGCTTGAACTATCCGCAAATGGCTGAAACATGTGATGCTTCCTCCCGCCATTTGATGCGCGCGGAAGTAGATGTGCGCGCGAACCCGTCCAGCTGTCCTACGCAAGCAAGTCACCAATCTACTGCAGCAGGCCTGGAAACGGGGTTTGTTGTGTCTGACTGATCGGCGGTGCAGACATGAAACTCGAGCTGAGGGAAATGGCCCGCGGTATTTATAAAGCGGCCGATCCTGTATGCATCTACCCGAAGGCTGTCTTGAGCAGTCTGCCCAGTCCAGGTTGACTGCGGCGGATCGAAAGACGACACAGGCTGCGGCGCTGTCAGTTTGCTGACATACGAGGCACCCCGCGGTGACACCACCTGCATGCCATCCACATTGCTAGATCGCGAACTGATAGGACGCCATTTGGATCTATTGCATGCAGCCGACGGCAGATTTTTCTCTGGTCTGTGGCTTCCCGCAAAGCTACAGCCTTTCTCGGGCCAAGCATGTCTCTATCCCAAGCATCGGTAGCCCCTCCTGAGTTGCACCGTCCCGGCTGATGCATACGAGATCTGATATACGAAAGCCAGGGTAGCACCACAATCGCCGTCTCAGCGAACCAGATGCCCCGGTGGGCGGGATAGCTGGCACGAGGAGGGGCCGAAAAGGGAAGCGACGGGTGGCCGCCGTACGTGTTCCAGCGTAAGATAGCAGTCCCAAGTTTGCCGCGTGTCGAATTGTGAGGCTGCTGCTGGTAGCGTTGACAGACGGCATGATGGTGTCCATCATCTGGTTTGGCTCGTCTATATCTTCGGGCCACCCCCTCGCCTGTTCCGAAGCAGCCATTGGGAATTAGCAATCCAGTTTGCCATTCAAATACACGAATCCTTACAGGAAAATGGCCATGTCACCAAGCCGTCCCCAGGTACTGAGCCTAATAAAGGCCGCCTGTAGTAGGTCAGTATGCACGACAGCTGCTGCTGCACGGAAGATACCACCTGGGTTTGTTGCCAGCGTTGGCCGCTTCGAAACATTTGTCCTGCCCGAGAAGGTAGATGGGTCACCCTCAAACCATGCTCTGGGCAAGGCAATGGTACAGGCCTGGCGGAGAGATGGCATCCTGCAAGTGGCCATGTCGGGTCAACAGCAGCAGGTCTATCGGGAAGCCCAGAGAATAAGCCGGCGTTTCTTTCGCAGGCCCCATCATCAGAAAGCTACATGTGTGGATGCACAGAGCTACGCCGGGTATATTGCCTCAGGTGAAGAGATCACCGACGGTATACCTGACTACTCTGAGATCTTCACGGTGATCAAAGATCTCCCACTGGATGACCAACGAGTCATGAATGGTTGGCCGTGCCATGGGCCCTGCCCTTGGCCTGATTCTGACATGGCCAATGTCATTCAAAGATACATGGATGATCTGGCAGCCAACGGAGAGAGAATGCTGCAGCTCATCGAGTTTGGGTTGCATGTTCCGCCGCAATCTCTAACCAAGTACACTGGAGATGGCTGGCACCACCTGCGAATGCTTAGGTATGCCTCTCCCCGACACCTATTGGAAACAAGCCCGTTACTCATGACATCTCACCCAAAGATTTCCGCCTTGCAATCGCACCAATGGCAGAGGAAAGGAAGGCCGGGGGATCGGCTCACACACAGACTATGGGCTGTTGATTATCGCCGCCCAAGATGATGTTGGGGGTAAGAAGAGCGATGATGCATGTGAGCATAGTTTGCAGACTATTCTGACCTCGAGCCCAGGTTTGTTCATTCGTCCGCCAAGCCAGGGCGAGCAGTATGCCAACTGGGAGAAGAGCTCTGCAGGGCTGCTCGAGGATGAATCCGGCTGGGTCTTTGTGCCGCCCGTGCCTGGTGTATTTACCGTCTTCCCAGGTGAGTGCCTTGCGGCTCGTGAAAATGACCTAGGCTCGCTGCTGATGCCGGCTCAGGAGACATGATGCAGTACATGACCGACTCGGTGCTATCAGCCACACCACACAAGGTCGGGCTCAACACGCGTGAGCGCTTTGCCTTTGCATACTTCCACGAGCCCGATTTCCGCGCCGTGGTGCGCCCACTCCCGGGATACAACAGAGCACAGCCACCCGTGGACGGAATCCATTATGGCACGCATTTCACCAACATGTTTCGGCGAAACTATCCGGATCGACTGACGACGAGACGCCTTGAAGAGGAAGGGCGGTACAGGCTGCTGGGCACTAGTGACTTACGTGACGATATGTAGGATAGATGACGCGTTCCGTCCTGCTTCCCTTGTTTTCTGGTGTTGGCAGGCCCTTAAGGCACTGAGCAAGGAGATGGTGTGCTTCACGGACGGGTAATGAAGTTGGAAAGCTCGAATACTTTTATTACCGTTTGGGAATTTTCTTGCCATTTGGAGGGCATTCCCCATATTCCTCTATATGTACTGTCCTTCATTATGTATATTTGCCATGCTGGAAATCGATTGATATGATGTCATCATCGAGGTAATCCCTCACATCTTCTCGGAACTTCTGATATGCTGGGTCTGTTAAAAGATAATAGTCGCGATGCTCTACGGCATCAAACTCGACGATGAACGAGTGTGTGATACCGAACTGCAGTAATTGGCAGAGAAGTCAGATCATGCATCTTGTATCCCTTGTCATCGGGCGGATTACCTTTGTTTCCACAGCGTGGTTGGCGCCACCGTGGATGCTGCGAATGTATGGCTTTTCCCATATCGGGTGGATGCATTTCTCTTTCAATTCCATCATGCCATTTGCGAGCTAGGGTTTAGGCGCAAGGAAGGACGGCGTTAACGGAGATGGCGGCGGTTGGGGCTGGTTACACGGCGACTTCAATACATACCTTGTGGATGTCTGCGGCTCTCGTGGACGGCTTTATCTTGAAGATGGCGACATGCGTAACGGGACTGGACAGACCACTGGCGTCCGAGAGAATGTAGAATGGCACAGTGAAGGGATGCCGAGGGTTGTAGAGAAAGACGGTGATCAGCAGAATCAACGCCACACCGGCACAGACGAGGGAAGATCGGGTCTTCATGGTTTCGAGAATACACAGAGGATAATTCGCGATGTTACAAGTCGATTGGCACTGGTCAATGAAGACGAGAAGGAGAAGAATTAGAGTGTCGTAAGAGACGACGCGAGAGACATTGGCAAGAGCAGATGATCAGGCACCTTCCCGTGAGCAGAGGAACAGCGGGTAGAGCTGGAAATGGGAAGATAAGGAGAAAGAGCTACTCCGTATACCTGTCAGATAAGCATGTAAATACTATAATACGACTTGATCATCATGGCAGTGCGAGCAATTATTATTAGCGACTTTCTACTCCGTATAGCCAGTGCCAAGAGCCATCGACTTGCACGCTATGGAATCTCCCCACGGTGGAGTGGATGGAGACGGGCCAAGCAATATCAAGTTTGGGCAGAGGATTTGCAGCACTCCGTGCACCAGAACTAGGCGCTGTGTTCCAAAATTACCCCTGGGGACACTGTGGGATCATCACTTCTGTAACAAGGACTGCCTGTCGATCAGCTGGTGGTGCGAGGCCTGGGGATTATCCTCTGGAAAACAAGCTTCTATGGTTCTTGAAACGTGGTATCTGCACGGTGTAATACGGCCTAATGGAGATGCGCCTCTCCTTAATAGTGATAGGCATGGCCGCATGCTGGCGACAGGCTGGAAGCAGAGCGCTGACCGTTATCCACGCCAAGGACAACATACGTATGCTTTGTCGGTAGTTCTGTGTCTAGCCTGCAGCCTGGACATGTTTACATGGAAACGGAGGACGGGATCTCGTCTCAGACAGCCGAGGGCGAATTCTAATCGTGTCCTTTTCTAGCCCGATCCGTCCATGGCGTCATGAGTGCATGGGATATGCTTGATGTGCGCAGACGGTCTTTGCTCAGGCGGATTCGTCCCCAACTGACAGAAAACAGCGGCCACTACGGCGGGATTGGAAGGACAACGCATCTGCAACCCAATGCCTCCGTCTTGCGCAATCCATATGCATGAGCAGGCTTAGGAGGCATTGTAGTCAGCAAGCAATTGAACCATTGTTATCACCTAGACGCCTCATTTGCGCGCTACCACAACGTAGCTTGCTCCAAGTCTTGACCGTCTAACTCCTCCCCCTCCTCTGACGAGCTAGTCGAACCAACTCTGATCCTTCTGGAATGTAGTGACCCCAACGTAAGATAAGGATCCCTCCAGACCTCCCACTGAGGGAATACTCGATCGGATTCTAGAATTTGCATTCTTCAGGCGTTGAATTTGTTTGAAAAATCTATCCGTGCCGTTTTGCCCCGAGATGGGTCTAAGACAGCCCCTGGAAGCAGGTCCACTGGGAACCCGACTGCCAAGGCCAATGTTAGTTAGGTCTCTTGATTGTAATGACAGCCAGTGCGCCGTCCAGTGCATCCATGCATGCAGGTACTTAAGCGCGAGTGTGTGTGTGATCGATTTCCCGAATACGCGTGCGACACATTGCGGTGCGCCCCTTGTCCCCTCCAACGGATGACACATAGTCAATACCGAGCTCCATGTTACGGAGCTGTGAGCTCCGCCTGGTTTCCACTGTGGATGTGCAACAAACCAAACGCAAGCAGCTTGAGCCAGAAATGCTGTTGCTTCAAGTGCCGGCAACAACCAGGACGAAAGCAGCAGCACACGGTATCGCTCGCCATGTGTATGCACAAGTAGATGGCTTCCTCGCATACAGCCACCGGTAACAGGGTGCAACCCATCCATCGCCGGCAGACGGCAGCAACACGGGTCTGCCGGCGTATCGTATTCGTTTGAACCTGCAGCCAGTCACTCATGAACCCCGCCACATCGCCGCGAGATGGTTGGCTGCCGGTGATTGCTTTCGGCGATCTCCTTCAGCGCGCGATTATTATCAGATCCTGCTTTTCTCCTCTCAGTGATGGGCTGAAGTGGGTTTGCCATAGCTCCGAATTCTGCAACGCCCAAGTGGGTGTCAATAATGGTAATTCAGCGGGCATCCTGCATGAGAGACGATACCTATGGATGACTTGCTGAGGGCTTAGCACGAACATTGGGACTTTTCGATCCTGAGGATGACCACCAACGCGAATCCTCTAGCCCTGGCCACACAATCAGCTTGCGTTGACGCATACCAAAGGCCCTGGAGCGCCCCGTGCATCCATCCCTTTGCGAACCTTCTTCTCCAACGAATAAATGAGTGAATGGGAGGTTTCATGCGGAGGCTCTGGTCAACGAGGATTCCCCACCAGTCCCGGACCGGACAAGTCTCCACGCGGCAATGGAGCTTTGTGACCCAAGCTGGCCGGGAGTGATGCCTGCAGTTATGGGGTGGCTCGGTGATGACGCAGGGATTTTTGCTGAGCTCCCCGCGGCAATTCAGATGCAACGAACCTAGTACGTAAGAGTGGGAGAGTCACATTCGCATCTGGGCTGAGGGCTGTCTGCCCGTCGTTGGTTGGACATTGAAATCCCAAAATGCCTGCCCCCAACTTGCCTGGAATTTACCCAGGTGGGGCCTAGACGGAAAGGGCAGAAAAAAAGTACAGGCATCCATTGAAAAAAAGTAAAATAGGGTCGACCCCTAGCCCGGCAGCGGTAGTGGCTTGTAGTCGCTGGTTTGGGGGCACAGCACCCATACTTTCAGCGCATGTGGGCGAGGTAGGTGCATACTGCCAGGGCAGCTCCACCCGTTGGCGCCCTCTCATAGGGCAATCTGCCTCTCACCGCCCCAGCTGTCCTAAATGGAAACAGGGGTTGACGAGGTTCTGCATCAACCTTGCCGATGCAGCTCCTCGCACGCACGCAAATATTCTCGCTGCGACGTCTGCTTGTCCCTCCCTTGAGCCCTTATCAGGCCTCGACCGTCCGTTCCCTACGTCTGCTCTTAGTTCTCCTCCCCCCTCAGCATCCCTCGTGATTGCTTACGTCTCTGGCCCTTACGTCGACCTCCGGTGGCATTGGCTTTGGCTGTGTGACGGCATCAATTGCGTTGGCTTGATATTGTTCTTCGCATTGGCCACCTAGCCAGGCGACCTGCTCAGCGGCTTCAGAGCAGCCCAATCCAAGCTCCTGGGTAAGTCGCACCAGATTATTCGAGATGCAAACGCATTTGCTGTATAATGCGCAGCCGCCGCTGCCTCTGTCCTTTGGCCCCTTTCCTCCCTCTGGCCAATTGGCTCTGCCATCTCTTGGTCGTCTTCAAGTGCTTTGCATGATTTAACTTCACCCTCGCATCATGGACGCTGCCGTTCAACAAAACTCTGGCTTACCACCTCCAATAGACTCGAACAATCGATTGCTAGACAGAACCTACGACCCTTCGATCAAAAGTACAAACCAATGTCGTAAACGCCGAGTCACCTTCTCCGAGCACATAGACACGATGAACTCTTTCCTCCCCAAGCATTTCCGGGGCGAGCCCTCGGTAGCACAGAACCAAGCACCCACCTGGCTGAGCAAAAGAATCACTCCCATGGTGCAGTTCCTCTCGCGGCTCGCCTGTGGTCACCCGATTCATACGGTCGTTATCGTCGCGCTGCTCGCCAGCACCTCATACGTCGGTCTGATCCAAGATAGCCTTTTCGATCGAAGTGTCCGCGCCGGCAAGGCCGATTGGTCGTCCCTGACCGAAGGCAGCCGCACGCTTCTTGCCAGCCCCGATACTACGTGGAAGTGGCAGTCTGTCGAGCAGGACGCCGCGCCAGCCACCGATGTCGATCACCTCGCCCTCCTGACTCTCGTTTTCCCGGATACCCTCTCGAGCGATTCACCGAGCACCGCCCCGCTCTCCAACACCGTCCCCACGCCGAGCAACCTCTCCATCACTGCACTCCCGGGGACAGAGAATTCGTTCACCACCTACGCACAAGATAGCATCCTCGCCTTTGCCCTCCCATACCAGCAGGCGCCCGAGTTCGTGTCCGCTGCCCAAGAGATCCCTAATGAGGATGCCGAGGAGACGGAGACGCGCCATGGCAAGGAGAAGAAGATGTGGATCATGAAGGCGGCCAAGGTCACTACACCTAGTAACGCCATCCAATGGGTCAAAGATGCGTGGTCCGAGTTCCTTGACTTGCTCAAGAATGCCGAGAGTCTTGATATTGTTATCATGGTACTTGGGTACCTGTCTATGCACCTGACGTTCGTCTCTTTGTTCGTCTCCATGAGGCGCTTGGGCTCCAACTTTTGGCTGGGCCTCAACACGATCCTCTCTTCCGTCTTCGCTTTCCTGTTTGGTCTCGCCGTTACCACTAGACTGGGTGTTCCCATTAGCGTTATTCTTCTCTCCGAAGGCCTGCCATTCTTGGTAGTTACCATCGGTTTCGAGAAGAACATTGTCCTCACCAGGGCTGTTCTGTCGCATGCCATCGAACACCGTCGCGTGCAGATCCAGAACTCCAAGTCTGGAAAGAAGAGTACCGAGCCCGTAACCCAGAGCCTCATCCAGTATGCCATCAAAGCTGCCGTCAAGGACAAGGGTTTCGAAATTGTCAGGGATTACGCTATTGAGATCGTCATTCTTGTTGTCGGTGCTGCCTCTGGCGTCCAGGGCGGTCTCCAGCAATTCTGTTTCCTGGCTGCTTGGATTTTGGTCTTTGACTGTGTTCTGTTGTTCACATTCTACACTGCTATCCTCAGTATCAAGCTTGAGATCAACCGCATCAAGAGACATGTCGATATGCGCATGGCTTTGGAAGCCGACGGTGTTAACCGCCGTGTGGCTGAAAATGTGGCTGAGGGCAACGACGATAAGGAGACTTCCCTTTTCGGGCGCAAGATGAAGAGCAGCAACGTGCCCAAGTTCAAGGTCATCATGGTCACTGGATTCGTTCTGATCAATGTTATCAACCTCGTCACCATTCCATTCCGTACACCTACCTCCCTGAACACGATCCGCTCGTGGTTTGGTGGTCTTGGAGGTGTTGTTTCCAGCCCTCCTGTGGACCCCTTCAAGGTCGCCTCCAACGGCCTGGATGTTCTTCTTCAGGGCGCCAAGTCGAGCGGCAAGGCCACCCTGGTGACTGTGCTTACCCCTATCAAGTATGAGCTTGAGTTTCCCTCAGTCCACTATGCCCTCACTGGCTCCATCAGCGGCAGTGGCACCTTGTTCGAGAATGGCCTGGGCTTGGAGGGATACGGTCTCGGCGGTCGTATGGTCGGAAGTCTGTTGCAGAGTTTGGAAGACCCTGTCTTGTCCAAGTGGATTGTCATCGCTCTCGCTCTCAGTGTTGCCCTCAACGGCTATCTCTTCAATGTGGCCAAGGCTGGTATCAAGGATCCCAACATGCCCGATCGCGTCATCGATCGTAATGAGCTGGCCAATGCTGAGCGATTCAATGACACCAGCACCACTACCCTTCCTCTCGGCGAGTACGTGCCGCCAACCCCTATGCGCACTGAGCCTGCTACACCCGCCATGACCGACGATGAGGGTGACGGAGCTGTTCCCCGACCAAAGGTGAAGCAGGACTCTACCGTCATCCGCAGCATTCCGACTCTTGAGCAGTTGATTGCCGAGAAGCGCGCCCACGAGCTGAACGATGAGGAGGTCGCCATGATGTCGCTGCGTGGAAAGATCCCTGGATACGCTTTGGAAAAGAGTTTGAAGGATTTCACCCGCGCTGTCAAGGTTCGCCGAACTATCATCTCTCGGACCAAGGCTACCCAGGAGCTCACCCATACGCTCGATCACTCCAAACTTCCTTATGAGCATTACAACTGGGAACGTGTCTTTGGAGCCTGCTGCGAGAATGTCATTGGTTACCTTCCGCTTCCAGTGGGCGTCGCCGGACCTTTGGTGATTGACGGACAGAGCTATTTTATTCCCATGGCAACGACTGAAGGTGTCCTGGTTGCTAGTGCAAGTCGAGGTTGCAAAGCCATCAATTCTGGAGGTGGTGCCATCACCGTCCTCACTGCTGATGGTATGACTCGCGGTCCTTGCTTGGGCTTCGAGACCCTCGAACGCGCCGGTGCCGCCAAGATCTGGTTGGATTCGGAAGATGGCCAGGACGTCATGAAGAAGGCCTTCAACTCGACTAGTCGCTTCGCCCGTCTGCAGAGCATGAAGACGGCCCTGGCCGGAACTAACCTCTATGTTCGCTTCAAGACAACCACTGGTGACGCCATGGGTATGAACATGATTTCCAAGGGTGTGGAGCACGCGCTTGCCGTCATGGCCAACGAGGCTGGCTTCGAGGATATGCAAATCATTTCGGTTTCTGGTAACTATTGTATCGACAAGAAGCCTGCTGCCCTGAACTGGATTGATGGACGTGGAAAGAGCGTCGTTGCTGAGGCTATTATTCCTGGAGATGTTGTTAAGAACGTACTCAAGAGTGATGTGGATTCCCTTGTCGAGCTCAACATCTCAAAGAACTTGATTGGATCTGCCATGGCTGGTTCTATTGGTGGATTCAACGCCCACGCAGCCAACATCGTGGCGGCCATCTTCTTGGCGACTGGTCAAGATCCCGCCCAGGTTGTGGAAAGTTGCAACTGTATCACCACCATGAGAAAGTAAGTCAACCATGCTCTCCATATTACTCCATTTGATGATTGTATGCTAATGATTTCCCTTCCCACCAGTCTCCGCGGCTCTCTCCAGATCTCCGTCTCCATGCCCTCTTTGGAGGTCGGTACCTTGGGAGGAGGTACCATCCTAGAGCCTCAGTCCGCCATGCTCGATATGCTGGGTGTCCGCGGCTCTCACCCCACAAACCCTGGTGACAACGCCAGACGCCTGGCTCGCATCATTGCTGCCGCCGTCCTCGCTGGTGAGCTGTCGCTTTGCAGTGCCCTCGCTGCCGGCCATCTGGTCCGAGCCCACATGCAACACAACCGAAGTGCCGCACCATCCCGCAGCGGCACTCCCGCCCCTCCTGCCGCCATGACGCCCGTGTCCATGGCGATGACCTCTGCGCTGGACAAGACCAACGGAGCCAATGGCACCCCGAGCGCTGCTGCCGTGCAAAGGTCTAAGCGATGAGTTGATCTCATGGCTTGGGCGTCGTGGTAGGAGTTTGAATTTCTCTAGAAGCCTGGATTATTGCAGTAGAAGTATTTGCATACACATCGCAAGGGGAGGGCGACCATGCCCTCCCCGTGCTCTAATTATCGTTAATTCATTGTTTTTACCTGTTAAACGTATCTTTTTAATTGGGTGAACGGAATCTACGCATGTAAATACCTCGAGTCTTGAAGACATTGAACATTACGTTTCCCCACCGCAGCATACTTAGTTAATATTTTCTAAACCTCAAAAAAGAGAAACAACAAGTAAACCTCAAGTTTGCCTAGAAACGCCTAAAAAACCCGTACTCCTCATGAAACCCCCACCAATCCCAGGTTGCTCGCTATGCCCATCATGATGCCAACGCCCTCACGCGCGCCACCTCCTCCCCGTCGAACGAGATCATCTTGACGCCGCCGCCAACCAACTCCCGCCTACAGTCCGGCCAGCCCTCCGGGGACACGGGCCGGGTGCCCTCCTCGACGATGTAGGTGACGTACCCCTCCTGCACGGCGTGGAGCGCCGTGGCGCGTACGCAGTAGTCTGCCGCGAGCCCAACGACGAAGACGTGCGTCGTCCCCTCGCCGCGCAGGCGGTCCGCCAGCCCCGTGTCCTCGACGCGGAAGGGGTCGTAAAAGGCCGAGTACATCTCCAGGTCCGGGCGGGTTCCCTTGTCGAGGACGGCGTGGACGGCGTCGGCGTCGAGCTCCGGGACGAGCTGGGCGCCCGGGGACCCCGCGACGCAGTGCACCGGCCAGAGGGTGGTGACGTAGGGGAGGTGGGAGGGGTCGGTGGGGTGGTGGACGGTGATGGAGGAGGTGAAGGGGGAGGTGTCCGGGTGGTTGGGGGAGAAGGAGATGTGGGAGGGCGGGTGCCAGTCGCGGGTGGCGAGCTTGAGGGGGAAGGGGAGGTGGAGGAGGGAGTTTACGGTTGGGGAGATGTCTCTGCCGTTGGGGACGGCGAGGGAGCCATTCTGGAGGAGGATGGACGGTTAGGCGGCCGATGTGGTTTTGTAGGATTGTGAATGTCTTGGGAGAAAGGTGGGTGGTGGTTTTGATATCAAACGTGAGGGTCATACAGGGACTTACAGGAGGGCAGAAATCTTCTTGGAAATCCACGACGATGAGAGCGGGCTTGAATGGTTTCGGGGCCATGGTTAACTTAGGCGGGCCTTGCCTCCGACATGAGTTGGTGTATGGAGCTATTGAGTGATGAGATGTCTCTGCTGTTGTTCACTGAGTACCTAGGTAGTGATGCGCCATGGGATGATGCTATGGCGGCTCTGGTGGAAGGCGGGGAGAACAGGCGAGGCTTATCTTATCGCAGCCATTGTGGCTGCCCCTCGTTTTGAGGCTCCTCATCCATTGGCTCGGAAGGGTCCGTGGCCTGAAGTGGCCAACCTGTGCTATTTGCGGCGCGGCCTGTCTCGTTACGGTTCCAAAAGGCAATGGAGCGCACATGAGGGAATACTAGTCATGAATCCTAGGATGGTATATGGAGCGGCCGCCTGCCACGGAAATAGCCATCACCGCGCTGGCAGCAAAGCAAGTGATGATATTCATTCTTTCCCAGAGGCCCACATCCACTAAGAAGCACGGCGGGAGCCGGCACTAGGACCAGCGATTAGCGACGAGAAATGAATAGACCCCCTTTTCTTCCAATTTCCATCCACGCAGCGGCCGACCCTCTTCGCCTTGGTATCCCGTTTTGATGGACGCATCGATCATGGCGAGAGCCTCGGTATCTTGCCGACTCGCTTAGCCTGGAAGGAGTTTTACCAGGCACAGGTTTTACCTACTAAGGTTGTATGTACTATATAGGCAATGTATGAAACCACTGTTCCCCTGGACCTGGAAATCAGGGGTCCATGCATTCAATTTGAGACACGCGGGACTACCCACCTCTGTTCTGAGATTCGGGACATGGCTGCGCGTTTCAATTCCTAGACGGGATATGGAACATTCCACCCGCGTTGGTAACCAAATCGATACACGTCGGACAAAGGCTCCATCCAGGCCATATGAGATTGAATGGACAAGACACGATGGCGCTATGCTATAGGGGCAATCTATAGAAGCCAGCCACTGGAAACAACCTGTCCGATAGATGTCGGTAGGGAATTGCATCAGATCGGCTCCTGCCTCGTGGCCCGCGTAATTGGGATAGCCGCGCGGTAACCTCCGCCGTTGGAGGAACCTCGGAGTAGCATCTGGCAAGTTACATGGCAAGCCAGGTCGGTGACAGATATAGTCGTGGAAAGCAGTAAGCATCGGACTTATTGCTTGCGAGGGTGTCGGGAGGAAGCCGAGGTGATTAAATTGAAAATTCTGTCCTCTCACCGCACAGGTATCTTACCACGGTTAGAGTGCTCATAGACGCACGTGCAGCGCATTTATGTGTGTGCGCTTCAGCGATGGACCTGAGCTGAGGCGCTCTTCTATTTGATCGATTGTGTCCTAAACATTCCTCTACACTCGTCTATTCGCCTCGTCTGGTGCTAGCAATAGCCCGTGCACTTACAGTGTCCCACTGGGTCCGCCAACGAGATCAACATTGCACTGACATCCATTATAAATGACCTGCCTGTCAGCCGCTGCATCTGGTTTGGTGGAGCTGTTCGATGCTGCACCCGGGCCCCTCCTAGCCTCCGAAGTCCCGAAACCCTGGAAATTTCATCCATTGGCTTTGGTACATTCGCACCCTTGGCCCTCATATGCGCAACCATTGGAGGTAAAAGCTGCATGGGAGAGAAAGCGAGGAAGCGTCGGAGAAACGAAGAACAGGGGGAGAAACTAGCTGCAAACCCAGCAACAACGGCATTCTCCTTGCGCCTCGCCCATCGCCATCAAGCAATAACCTACAGACTATCAAAAGCTGCCTGGCTTGTTTGTTTAGTGGGGTGCGTGCGGCGGATGGTTCGCTCCATCTGACTGCGCTGAATCGTCGAGTTGCGGACTTCGCTTCGCTCCTGAGCCTGGCCTGGTCCCAGCACTGCGGACTGGAAGCTGCAGCTAAATACAGGCCCCCTTCTCTTCCGACTCCCGAGTGTCACGCTTGCATTTGCCTGCGACACACGCCGCCACCAACCAACCCGTCTGTGCATAAACGAATTGATCGACCCAGCCGGCTGGTCATCATCCTGTCTGTCGTTGGTCCTCGGGCGCGCAGAGCAAACCACCACCAGCTGCGGTGTCTTGCATCCTGCAGGCGCTGATCGCTCAGTCCCAGCAGCCAAGGCACGCCACTTCTTCGCAACGGGGCTCTCGCACTCGCCAGCCCAATCCTGAGCCCTGGTGCTGCGGTTGGTTCTCTTTGCGCGGAACGCAGCCATTGGAGTTGCACAACGTCCTTTTTCCTTTGGGTGTCTTGATGAGGCTGGCGGGGGTTCCATCTTGAAACAGACCATGTGCTCCCTGCTGCTGCGCCAGCCCGCCTACCTACTCGGGTTATACGCGTTGATCGCCGGTGGCGTCGCCTTTTGTGCTGTCGTCTATATCATCGAGCGCTTCATCGTCAGCATCCCCTATCCCGATAATATCCCTCTGATCCGCGAGGCCCCTGGCGCACGGCGATTCAGTTTGCGCACGAGATGGGCTTACTACACAGATTGCAAGGCTCTCTTTAAGGATGCCTGGGACAATGTAAAGCTCACCCATTGCACTTCCTTCAACCCATTGGCGCCCAGCGCACTTTGGCGCTTTCATCCAAGCTTGCTAACCTGAATTCTAGCATCTCAAACAAGGGAAGCCAGTCGTTATCCCCGGGATGGGTTTTCGCAAGGAGGTTCTGCTGCCGCCCAGCATGATCCGATGGGTGCTGGTGCAACCGGCAAGTCGCCTCAACGTCCCCCACGCGATGGCCGAGATGGACCAGGCCAAATTCACCCTTGGGCATGACGGCCCTATTCTCGACAGTTGGCAGGGATTGCTTGTCAAGACGGAGCTCAACCGTGTGCTCGAGGCCATTTGCGCTTCGCTCAATGACGAGCTTGGCCGTGCGTTTGACAAGCACTTTGGCGACGACGAGGAGAACTGGGTTGAGTTCAGACTGAGAGAGACTATCAGCAGGGCCATCGCACAAGCCAACAGCCGCTTCACTGTTGGACTGCCATTGTGTAAGACATCATTCTTCGTCTCCCGAGGTGGAATCATTTCATGAGAAATAATGACGCCTCAATTTTCGCCTTGAATACTAATTCGAGGATGACAATTAGGTCGCGACCCCGAGTATCTCAAAACAGTACTAGATATCAACGACGGTCTGCTCGCCAACGGAGGCCTCATCTGTGGCCTGCCTAATGTCCTCCAACCTCTCCTCGGACCCCTCATTGGGATTTCTCTCCAGCAACATATCAGCAAGGCCAAGCGCTGGCTCATACCCCTATGGAGGGAACGGGTGGCCATAGCACGCGCCGATGAGAAGGACGAAGGCAGCACGAATGCACCTCTAGACCATGTACAGATGATGGTCAATTTTGCCTTGAAAGAGCGCCCAGAGGAGATTAATGACCACGAACTCATCGTCAGGCGGATATGTGCCCAAAACTTCGGCGCCGTCCACCAAACGACTCTGCAGGTCTGCAACCTACTGCTGGATATTCTTGGCTCAGATGTGGAATACGACACCATAAACGCGCTGCGTAAGGAGTCTGACGCCATTCTAGGGACCGAGGACGATTCGGATCGGTCCAAGAGCCAATGGACCAAGGCCCGTGTGAATAGCCTGATCCTGGCCGACTCTGTCTCCCGCGAGACGCTTCGTCTACACGCCTTTGCTAACCGGGCGATGATGCGTAAGGTGATGGTCGACGGAGTGACCACCCCCGACGGTTACAATCTACCCAAAGGCACGCTCGTCTCCTTCCTCTCTTACCCAGTACATACAGACGAGGATGTATACGCGGATGCGCTCAAGTATGTGCCATTCCGGTTTGTCGAGAAGCGTGATGAGGGTGCGCCAGTCACATTTGTCACAACGAGCAGCGAGTACCTGCCGTTTGGACATGGCAAACACGCCTGCCCGGGCAGGTTCCTAGTCGACTTCGAGCTCAAGATGATTGTGGCGCATGTCTTGCGGAATTACGATATCAAGTTTCCTGCCGAGTACGAGGGCAAGAGGCCGCCGAATGAATGGATCACCGAGGCTTCATTTCCACCGAACGGAGTAAGGATATGTGTGAGAAAGAGGAAAAAGGCATAATGATAATTGAGATTCTTTCTACGGAAATGATCTCATTGAAATTCTTGATTTACGGCAACTGGCGAGCTTGGAGTTTTGCACAGGGTAATGAGGGTGGTATTCTGCGGAACAAAAAGTACGACATTAATTACCCAACTACACACACGAGTATAATTTCCTACTGTAACTAGTCATGTCCATATACGAGCGGCTAAGTATATAATCTTCAAGTAATGTATTGCTTTTGATGCCCGATACTTGGGTTAGCGACGCGCCTTGGTGATGAGCTCGGTTCTAGTCTACATCTGCTGTAATCCCAACAAGTGCCTCGATGTTAGATCATTTCTCGTCACATATGAGTCTCCTCCGACTCAATCCTGCTTTTATACACGGTCATCCGAACTAGAGTTACCCTGAGAGCTCCCCTGCTTCAGATCGCGATCGACAACGTCGTCGAGCACCGTCAGCCCCTCCCTCTCGGCCCTCACCCTCGCCCTCTTCAGCCTCCTCGTGTCCGCCTCCGTCTTGCGCGTAACCCACCAGGTCGCGAGCGTGGTCAGCGTGCAGAGCCCCACGAGCCCCATGGCGCTGGCGAAGCTGACCCGGTACCGCGGCGCGTACTTTGATTTGAAGATCTGGGGGCCTATGGCGCCGCCGATCTGGCCGTAGCTGTTGACGAAGCCGATGCTGAAGGCCGACCCCGTGGCGCGGGAGGTCGTCTGGACACGCCAGGGCCACATGAGCGGGAAGAAGGCCGAGGTGAAGGCGTTGCCGACGAGGGTGGCGGCGTAGACGGCGCCGTTGGAGGGGTACGCGACGAGGACGCCGTAGCAGGCCATGACGACGACGAAGACGCCCAGAGGATAAACGGGCCGGGGCAGGCGGCCGTTGTCGGCGAAGTAGCCCGTGGTGCCAATGACGAGGATGGAGAGGAGGGAGATGGGGAGGTTGAGGAGCTGGGCGCGGGCGATGGTGGTGAAGCCGAGGTTGGCGATGACGGTGGGCTGGTAGAAGCGGACGCCCGAGGTGCCGACGGTGAAGGTGGCCCAGATGAGGGTGAAGAGCCAGAGACGGCGGTCCTTGAGGGCCTGGACGATCTCCTTGATGTTGAAGTTCTCCTCGGCGGCGCGGGGGGCGTTGGGGGGTAGGCGGGCTTGGATGAAGGCCTTTTCCTTGTCGGTGAGCCACTTGGCTGTGGGAGGGACTTTGATGGGGGAGGTTAGTCTGGGAACGACGAGTTTGGATGCGTATGTTGGTTGATTTATGCTTACAGTCTGGTAGGATGAACTTGACGGCGACGCCAAATACTACTGTGACGAGGCCCTCGAAAAGGAACAGGTACTGCCAGCCACTGAGACCGCGGGCTCCAGACACGGTGTCGAAGGCAAAAGCGAGGAGTCCACTAAATACTCCAGACAGGTTTCCGAGAATGTCTATGGCAGTTAGTCGGTTGCCTTGGCTCATGCTGGTATGGATGGTGGTAGACTTACAGAAATACAGGAGACGAACGGACATCTCGTCAGGTCGGTACCAGTACGACAGCTGGAGAATTACACCCGGGAACATGCCAGCTTCGGCCTACATGGGTATTAGCATCATGGAACTGGTTGTGACTAGAGAATAATGAGAGACGTACCAAACCGAGGAGGAATCGCGTTGCATAGATGCCCCCTTTGTTGTTCACCGGAACGTGGCACAAGAGGGCGATTCCCCAACTGATCATGATCCTCGATTGCCAAGTGCTCGGGGAGAATTTCTTGAGAAGCAGGTTGGATGGAGCTTCAAATACAATGTATGGAATCTAACTCGGTCAGTCTTCATGTTCTTCTTAGTGAGACGGGAACTCTAACTTACATAGTACAAAACAGTGAGTAAATTGTACTCGTCGGATGTCATCTTCAGTTGTGTCATGATATTCATATCCGTTCCCTTGTTCATGATCCGGGCGTTGGAAATATTGTCCGAGTCAAGGTTCTTGAGCAGAAACAACAGCGAGCAGACAGTCATGATGCGCCAATCCACCCGCCTCATCAGCTTCTTCTCCTCTTCAGCCGTGAGCAACGCGCGGTCGCGCATTCGCTCGGCGTCAAAGCCGTCAACTCCCTGAGCCACTGTGGCATCATTAACCTCCTCTCCACGACGGGCATAGGTCAGACCAGAGGGTTTGCTGGCACTATTCTCCCCGTTCCGGTCGCCAGTCTCGCTCAGTGGGGGTGAGTCGGAGCTCACGGTGTTGCTTGAGACGGCAACATCCTTCCCGTCAGCCATTTTGGCAGTATTGTGATCACGAAGTGCCCTCAATGGACCCAATGTGTGAAAAAAGAAAGTACAATGGAGGCGGCGTGTACTAAGGAGGGTGGCAAGTCCGACATCCGGCTTCAATATGCATTCAATTGGTTCACCGGGGATAAGAAGGTCTTTTTAGCTGCGGCATGACAGCTCACTCCCAGGTTATCTGCGTTAATTCCACATGGCGATGAAATGACCAGTGTCAATCACGCCAACGGCCTTGTTCGAACCTCCCGAGGTGTCTCATTGGCAGACTTCAGGTCGAGGCAACCCTCTCATGCACTGTCAACCCATGGTAATGGCACATATAGGGCGGGACATACCCGACTTACAGGTTGGGCTTGAATCTTTGGGGAAGTGCGGACCAACTTGTGCAGAGGTTGAGATCGACGCGAGCCATCTCCAAAGACGCCATTGCGGAGATGGATTGCGTGGTAGCATCGGGCTGCCGCCGACGACGGAGATCACGGCCAGGGGGGCCCCCATTTAAGACTCCCGGACTCCGGCATGGGGTCGGCCGGCCTTATCCAAGTTCATACTACTCCCGGAAGGTCACTCCGTGCTTTGGCCGCTTCATATATCACGCAATTGCCCCATATTGAGCTTTTGGTTCGATAAGACAGGACGTCTCGAGACGCACGAACTTGGCCCATATCTCAGGATGGCTGCAGCTGTGTCTTCGTTCCCCGTCGGTGCCCTGCCGGCCTACAAGCAGATTCCAGAAACAGCTCACGAGTGTATGTTCCGTCCCTCGCTAGATGAATGACATCTCAGTTCGTTGTATTGACCAGTCGTAGTGGATTGGGCTAATCTGGTAACGCTTGATCTGTCCAAGTTCGACCAGCCTGGAGGCAAAGAGGCTCTCGCCAACCAGCTGTTCAAGGCTCTGCAAGAGGTCGGTTTCTTCTACATCGTAAACTTTGGCCTCAGCCAAGAGGAGGTCGATGAGCAGTTCGCCATTGGGAAGAACCTTTTCGAGCTGCCCACCGAGGAGAAGCTCAAGTACCGTGCTGATCTAGAAAACGGTGGCTACAATGGCTACAAACCGCTCGGGCTACGGGTAAGATTATCCCTATGGCCTGACTCTGCCACAAGCAACTCACTCTACTGTAGGAAGTGACGCCCGGTATCTTCGACAACACCGAGATCTTCAACATTCCCAAGTTCATCCCCGAGCTGGACCGCCCGCAGCCCTCAGTGATCAACACCCACAAGCCCCAGATCGAGAAGTTCGCCCGCCACATCCACCACAACGTCGTCCAGAAGCTCCTGGCCCTCTTCGCCATCATCCTCGAGCTCCCCGAGGACCACTTCTCCCGCTTCCACCGCTACGACGCCCTCTCGGACTGCCACCTGCGGTACATGAAGTATCACGCCCGCGACGCCGAGACCAACAGAAAGCTCAACAACGTCTGGGTCAAGGGCCACACCGACTTCGGCAGCCTCACCCTGCTGTTCCGCCAGCCCGTCGCGGCCCTGCAGGTCCGCGGGCAGGACGGCGGCTGGAAGTGGGTGCGGCCCCTCGACGGCTCCATCACCGTCAACGTCGCCGACGCGCTGCAGTTCCTGACCAACGGGTTCCTCAGGAGCAGCATCCACAGGGTCGTGGCGCCCCCCGCGGACCAGGCGCACGTCGACAGGCTGGGCGTGCTGTACTTTGTCCGGCCGGAGGATCAGCTGGAGCTGCGGCCGGTGCAGAGCAAGGTGCTGGAGAGGCTGAATTACAGGCCGGATCCGGATGCGCAGCTGGCTGAGGGGATCACGGCGGGTGAGTGGGTAAAGGCTCGTGTGAGGGCGGGGGTGAATAGGAGCAAGACGGCGAGGAGTGAGCTGGCGGAGGAGGATATTCTGAAGGGGGTAAAGGCGAGATATTATGACTGAATGAGGAATGTTTTTCTAACTAGTAAATTGAGAAATGAGTTTATGATTCGACTGTTTGTATGACGAATATGGCCAGAGATGTGCTTTTTGGGGAAGCACACATGTGAATGCCATGGATAATTGAATTTCAATGCATCAAGGGGGTATCAATTAGAGAAACTGTCAACTTTTCTTGCATTCTTTTACTCTTTTAGCCATCGTTGACATATCTCTCAAACACATCTCCGTAGAACCTCTTGCCAACATCCCGGTGGCTGCGGATCTTTGTCCGCAGCTGGCTCTCGCCCCAAGTATCATACTTGCCCTTAAGGAACGCAGAATCAACACCCCTCCCCTCGTCAGACTCTGAAGCCACGCTACCCTGTTGATACCGAAACTCGGGTCGCTTGAGGAAATGCTCCCTCAGCGGATCCAGAGCCTCCGCCTTGGTAAGGTCACGCCTCACCCCCTGGAAGAAAGGCACGCTGAACCGCTCCAGAGAACCGCCCAGCACGCGGTGCGTCGTCGCCTTGCACACGCCGTGCGTGACCACCTCGAACGCCTGGCCGATGTTGACGACCAGAGAGCCCGGGATCACGGGCACGTCCACCCAGTTGCCGCTCTTGTTCAGCACCTGGAGCCCCTTGATGTGCGGGGGCGAGGCCTGGAGGAGGAACGTCCACCACCCGGAGCTATCCTTGTGCGGTCCTACACCCTGGCTCTCGTCGCCGGGATCCTCAAGCGCAGGGTAGTGGACGAGCTTGAGGCGGTGCTGGTCAGAGAGGAATGGGAGGAATGTATCTTGGGGGAGGAAGAGAGCCTCGGCTACGAGGCGGAGGAAGCGCTCGCCGAGGGCAGTCAATTCACGGATGTACGTCTCCACGATAGGACGTAACTCTGGGTACGCTGATGGCCACTTTATGGTTGAATAGGACAGTTAGACAGTTGAGCAGGGCTAAACTACAGCAATAGGAAAATTTTGGGCGCTGTACATACAGAATTTGGCCCTCGTAATCGTTCACGAAGAGGTAGCCCTTCCTTCCAAGTTGCATCCAGCTCTGTCGCGAATTCAAACTGCTCTCTGCGGTCGGATTTGCCTGCCGTCGTCTCGGCACCATCGCCGCTGTAGCCAAGGAAATGGGGTGACTTCTCGAGGGCGACCTCCGCCTTGGACTCTGGAGGGATAGAAAAGAGGCGCGGGAGTGCGTTTTTGAGATCCGATATCAGGTTGGTGGGAACGCCGTGGTTCTCAATGTAGAGGAACCCGACCTCTGTGAGAGCATATCGGAGATCACTCAGAAGCTGGTCATGGTCAGGTAGCGACAAATCAATGCGGGGAATATTGATGAAATCCGGGGTAGTAGCAGCAGCCGCCATGATGGCTGCTATGCTCGCTGACCAGGCTCGACGTGTTCTGGCTGCTCTGGCGGATGTCGACTTATTGAGCAAATGAACGGATAAGCGTGATTGGTACGCCAATTAACCTTCATCCAGATATCATCATATGTAAAGACCGGGCAAGTACCGACTCCCTGGAATTCATTGACCCCACGAGGGTTACAGTGCAGGAGTAGTGCTGGTGTTGGTGCATGTCACATCATCACGCAACGATCCCCAGATGGCACACCATCATCGCTTGTCGGATCCGATACCGGGCCTTTTAGGTTGCTGTCTCTACTGCAACCAAGTCTGGGCGATTCATCATCAGTTCGGGCTTTTGTCGCCCAGAAACGAGCTATGCATACTCAGGCAGTTGCTTTAGTTACACCATGCCGTGTCATCAATACACCGAAGAATAGAGTGCTCCTAAGTGGCTACCCCAGAGATCTGGTGATCGCCAAAGTTCAGTTCTCTGCGTTACGCCGAAGAAGCTGGAGGCTGAGCACCTAGCCATTACTTTAGATATAGGTTTAATATAACCGAGGCGAACTGCTTGGTAGTTTGAGGAGCTGGTAATGGCATCCTTTCAAAGCCTGTCTGGTGTTTGAGGATGTTTCCGATTACGAACGTATGATTTTGTTCAATTGGCAAACCAGGTCGCAGGGAAGAAAAAGTTTACTACGCTCATCATTATTCTTACCATCGTTATCATTACCATCTATACTTCTCATCGGAAGTTAAACGTAGACGTATGGGGTCTAGGCGGTCCTCCTTTTGGCCTTCTCATCCGTTCTGTAATAGCGTTTCCTTGCAACAGCTCCATCATCAACGAGACGGCATTGTCCAATAAATGAAGATTGACCTGGCCTCGAATGAACAACAAACGATGTCCGCCCTCCAAGCAGTACGGCAATTTCGTCGCCAGCTTGGAAGAGCTGAGCCTGCGATCTCTTGGACACACGAAGTGCGGTCTCTAGAGTAGCTCGTGTAATCTGCGTGCTATCCGAAGGCATGCCCTCAAGGGCAGACTTCCAGATGACTCAAGAACACCCAGCCCAAGTGCAGAATCAACACCTCGTGGTTCAAGTACAACAACACAGGTAGCATGTTTGTAGACGAGCCTTGTTTATGACACACATCGCGACCGGTCGTCCTCATTACTCTGGTCGATACAGAGAGCGTCTATGCATAGCACACGATATCGATTCGGGAAGCGCAACGAGGTCAGAGCGGTATCGAGGTTCAGACGGAGGATACGAGGGGGCGTCGTGCGGTCGGCGCGTCGAGGTTGATCAGTTTGAGCTCGCTCTCCGGAGAACAGCACCGTCCCACCCCCGGGGTAAGACAAGCGCATTAGCTCATGGTCGTGGCAGGGAATCTTTCCACATGCGCAGTTTAATAGGGGAACAAATACACGTTCGGTCTGTCAGCTTCACGAAGCATGATCAACACCTACTCAGAGTGGTCGAAGACTCAGCACAGAGCAAAACCCAACCCAGCGCCCCAGTGTGCGGCTGACTAAGCCCCTCCAACAACGGCAGGAGCAGAGGAGAGACGATCACCATCTTCAATCAAATCAAAACATTTATGCAGTCTTAAGTCATATATTCGTGTATCTTCCCTTCATATACAAAATGATCTACCATTACTCATGAAATTTCATGTCGTGTTCCCGTCACATATATAATCAATCTGCCCACAACGCCAACGCCGGACCAGCAAGTTAGAAGACAAAGAAAAAGACCAGCAGAAGCGATCACAATGCGACAGCTTCTGCCTTGGGCCAGCTGTTGCCGTTTCCACTTGTTTCGGGGTCTTTTATACCCATTGTCCCATCTCCCTCCCCATTCTCGCTCTTGTTGTCATATGTTATTGTCACGACATCGGTTCGTAGGATGCGGTTGGAGGGAGACATGTCCTGGCCAGGCTTCCCGTCATGGTGATGGTCTGCCAACTTGACATAGTCTAGAGTCCGCAGGATAGTGTCTTGCGAGCCGACCTCTACCAGATCGTCGACTGATGTCCCCTTGTGACGTTCACCTCGCTTGCCTGTTCCCAGGCCGAGCTCCGTGTCTCGCTTCTTCCACCCGAGTCGACTGACAGGGAATCGGCTGTACCCGTTGTTTCCCGAACTATTCAGAGCCCGACGACCAAAGATGAGATCGACGAGAGGCTGGAGCAACGGTATGCACGAGGCCACAATAATAGTCGTTCCCTCTCCGCTGTGAACCTGTTAGCAATGAGTCGAACAAGGATAGGCAGGTTCAACCTACACGACCCAGAGAACCAAGTCTGACGTTTTATCTGTCGACATGAATCAGCAACAGAATCAAAGAAATACGGGTAAATTTCCATCCATACATGTGAAATCCTTTTCAGCTAGAGCTGGCAGCCGCGTGCACTTCTTGATTGCAATAACAGTGGCACTAATCAATTAGCAGGGTTCCGGTCTCACAACGAAGAGAAAACGTACACTGATCCGATACCCAAAGCCACGCTCAAGGCAATCTTCTTCCGGACGTTCATCTGCAATTTGAAAAGTACAGTGGCTGGGTACAGTGCCAAGTAAAGATCGGTAAACGCAGACACGCCTTTTCGAAGTCAGCGATGTTCCTCGCCTTCCATCATCTACTAGAGTACTCACTTCCCGAAAAGATTAGAAAGTCCACAACCACACTACCCGGAATGCACTTTTTATCCACGACTGAAAGGTCCCAGAGCGCTCGCATAGGCGTACACTGGGCAAAGATGAGTATTATGCTAGCAACGACGGTCGACGCGCAGAATGAGGTCAATCCCCACACGGCGAGTTTGTGCTGCTTCGTTGGGTTCATGATCCGAGTAAGAAGGGCTGCGACGCCGAGCTTTGGAATACTGAACGCAAGCATACCCATCGGAAGAGCGAGTACAGTCCAGAAGATTGTGCCCTCCCTCTCGTCTATCGACAGCGTGTCGAAGTGTCTTCCGTTGCCCGCCTTGATGGCTAATATGACAAATGCCACGCAAGCCCATTGGAACAACTTTGAAGTCACTTAGCCACGTCTTGGGTCACGATAATAGGGTGCAGACTTACCACAGAGAGAGAAGCCAACCAGTCATCCGCGTGCAACTTGGCCATGATCTTTCCGCGGGTGAATAACCGAAGCAGAATAAAGATGGTGCTGATAGAGGTGAGGACGATACAAACAGTGGCCACCCCCGGGCCCAGGTTCTCTGCAAGATACTCGTCCGTTTGATGCGGCAGCCTCGAGGGCCTAGCACTCGTGTCTTCTACCGTACTCATGCTATCTATCAAACTTCCCAAGATCTGCCTGTATGCCGGATGCTTGGACCTGAGAGATGAGCGAGATCCTTTACTGATGGGACAAAGCGCATATATATGATGATATGGGTGGATTATAAGATGGCCGCCACTATGCATCCCAGCCTCGTAGATCCCGGATGGGACATGATGGGATCTGGACCCGGGACCGGAACGGCGTGGATCTTCGCATATTTCTCCCGAATCACTCCACGATACAGAACAAGCTCACATGCGAGGCATCGGGAGGGTCTGGGGCCTGTCAGTTGAACATGCCAATGGAGTCGCTGAGCTGAGTGCCAGCTAAGCGGCATCATGTTAGGGACAGGCCGGAATTCATGCCTTCTTGGCCCACAATATTGCGAGCAAAGTCTACTTCTGGTGTCCAACCAGGAACTGGGGATGCGAAGACGCGGCTGTCACACCTCGCAGACTACGGTTTCAAGCGGCTGATGCGCCATTGGGAGCCTTGCAGGCAGCCTTCCATCACAGTCGCTCTCATAAATCAAGACTATTATCTTCATGGTTCTGAGCGTCTAGATTTCAACCGGAGTGACCCGAATTTCCGGAGTCTTTAATGAGGGTAATGAGTTGGCCACCTACCGAGCAGCATCAGGCGGTTTTTTGTAACCGAAGTTCTCCATAATGGCAAGGAAGAAGAAAACATCCCAAACGAATGCTTATCTAGCCTAGGTACGGGATGGTCATTTGGGCGAGCTCCCCGAAGCGAACTAAGAGTGGGAAAAGAGGAGGGAAAAAAGCAAAAAGCGGAACGTTGCTACTTGCCCCTGCTTGCGAATCACAATCGAGAAAGGACGCCGTCGATTGCCAACACAACCGCTTTGCAGCGAACGGGACGATCAAGAAAAAACAATTCCAGCAAGATCACGCCATGATGCTGATGAGATTTTCATTCCGCCTTTGACCTTTAGAACGCATTTCAATATACGCCAGTGTGTGGGCTAGAATAGATGCCGCTAGCATGCCAGAGTGGCCATGATTGAAAGGGACTCCCCTGCCAATCCAATCATCCCCGCGCCTCCTCAATCAGAGCCTGCTTAACCGAGATCCTCAACGGTGGCGTGTGGTAAGCTCCGCCACTGGAAAAGAAGAAAAACTCCCATGGCAATCAATCACAATGTCCATGGCCACCGGTTGGCGATGTGTTTGGGAACAGGGGTCGAGCAACACTCTGGAGGTGGGGATGCCGTTGAGAAATCGCCGATGTCAAGGATGGCAAAATAGCTCCGTTTTCGTCTCGCCTTGTGGAAGAAGACGGCATGACAGGAGGGAACTAACTGTGAAAGGTATGGCGAGAAGCACCCTCTCCGAGCGCTCTACCCCGTGCCGTGATGTCGAGAACCAGACTCGAAAGGCATGTGTTACCTCAACAAGGGATGGCACCGAGGAGTTGGGAGGGCAAACAGGGGTTGATCTCTTCACGCACACTAATCGGCATGCCCATGCCTGGATGCTACTCTACGAATGACCTGTCTCAAAAGCCATCGTCAACCGTCCAGGGAACCAGTTCTGCAGCGATGCTCAGTCTAAGATCGCCTCTCGTTGCAACGCTGCCATTGCATCTTGAGAGGCGTGAACATCCCCGTGTCTGCAGGCTGGTTTATGCAAGGGGCATGGCTGGGAATACATGCTCTAACTGGAGCTAGCCCGGTTCAACGTCCCGCCAAACATCCCTTGTGGGAAGGGAGAAAAAGAAATATGAATTCTTCATGCAAATGGATGCAAGCCATGTCACCTCCGCAGCCTCAGCTCTAGCTTTTTTGCTTTTTCCCAACTGCGCAGCGCGCGAATCCAGCCGAGGCGCTCCCCGTTTCTTTCCTAAGTGGCCTGATTTTTCGACGATGAGACTTCAGCTTAGGGATCGGCTATTACATAGCAATCAATTAGGTTGCGTGCAAGCTGCCGATTCACGAGGCTTGGTGATCTGCGACGCAAGATGTATGTACATACATGGTCGTGTCTGCATGTCGGTGGGCAATCCAATACTGGAAAAATATGGATTTGTTAAGATTACCAATATCGATTTTTGTTTTCGATAATGCAGTAAATGACCTGATTCCCGCATCAGGATACCGATGCAATTGAGATTTCAGCAACAGGTTTTGACTCCGCGAGAATGGTGACTCCTGCAGGTTGAGGAAGCGAGGACTTGCTCGTGAGCTTTGGAGAGGTACTTACCCTATACTCCTCGCTCTCCCCTCAGCGAGAAGCCACTTCTCTTGTGATGCAAATAAATAGTATTTATAGATGGTTTATTTATTTTATTGTTTCAAATTAGTATGCTGGTATTTAATATTCCAAAGCGATTAATGTGCTGGAGGGAAATCAGAACCTATCTTCGCATTTGAGCCTTATTCCTCAACTTTCTAATGGAAGACATTGATCTCTTCGTCTTTTCTTTTATCGTCTTTTCTTTTATGAAATTAAGATAGGAAACGAACTTGAAGAATAGGTCACTTAGAAAATTACAGAAACCAAATCACGCAAGCATCTCAAGGATTTGATAGAACTTTATTAGGTTCTCACAGGAACTTAAGTATTAGTTATCTGAGTCCGTCTGAGGCTCAGCTGCCTTGGTTTCTGTGGATTTCCACACCAACAAGGTAACGTTCATAGTACAATGAAAAGATAAGGGCCTGGGGACTACCATATCTGATAAATTTAGTAGTGTAGGTTGCCGAACATAGATTCCCCTGTTTCTGAGGCTACTCACCTATCCCGTTAAAACCTTCTGAAAGGTATCCTCAACTTTCAATATCAGATGAGAAGCCGTCCTGTGACAAGCTCCATCCATAGTTTTCTTCTTCGGAGATCTCACTTTGTGCTTCAAAAGAATTGAAGGATTGACATACAAGTCCCCTTAAATAAAGAAGGTTTACCAAGATTGAGGCGCAGATTCTCTCATGGATTCAGTGTATGAATACGAAGGCAGTGCTGGATACTGGAATGCGGTAGCCCAATGACAGTCAGTATTCCTCATCTCGTTTATGCGTCCGATTGAGCTGTGGCAAAAGGATGACGGAGTATCTTTCCACCTCTCGTGGTGACTATTCTTAAACAATGATTTTACCGTGGGATTGCCATGGCTAGAACCACAAGAACTTTGTATATATGTACCTATATAACATTTACAGACGAGATAGAAGAAAGCCAAAGATCGGCCACAGTTGCACATCTTGCCTCACCTTCGAACAGTGAGCTCCGGTGCCTCATGCTTGGATGACACCCATGAGTGATATTCAAATATTGCAAAATCCTCCTCTTCCACGATCAATTGATATTCATTCACTTATATGGCTTGGACATCTCCCATACGATAAGCTAGTATATTGCGTCAAACTCCGCCTGTGTGGCCTAATATTGGTAGCCAACCATCGGAGGGCGCCATGATCAGGTCATCTCCCCATGCAGGACGGAGTATTGCGCACCAGTACGAGATGTACGAAGCAAACTCCGCATTCTCCTGCGGGGTTCTGTCACTCGACATAGCTATCAAGCATCCCAGCTGATGAAGAGCGAAGCTTCTGCCCATCACTTTATTACCTCGATGAACAAAGAAACACCATGCCGGGCAAAATTCTCGTGCTTGGCGGTACAGGCCCCGCAGGCATCTGCCTCCTACGCGAGCTCCTCTTCCGAGACCACGACGTGATAGCATTTGCAAGGAACCCTTCCAAGATACCCGATGACCTCAAGTCGAATCCAAAGCTCGAGGTAACGCTATAGGTCTGCAAGTTACCCTCGCCCTGAACTAACAAGGCGCGCGCAGGTAGTCAAAGGCGAGCTGACCGACCGCGAGCAACTCGCCGACGCCGTCTCACGAAGCTCAGCGGTCCTGTCCCTCCTGGGCCCAAACAGTCTACTGAACACGGATCCGGAGGTGTACTACAATTTCTACGTGCTGTTGTTCGGACTCATGCGCGAGCACCAGGTCCGCCGGGTCTTTGCCATGAGCACCATCTCGGTGTGGCAGCCTGGCGACCACTTCTCCCTCATCAGATGGCTCCTTGTGGCGTTGGTGTTTGTCGTGGCGCATTACGGATGGCGAACCGCGCGGGCGATTGCGCGCGTCTTTGAGGAGCACGCTGGGGGATTGGATTGGACCGTGTATCGTATTGGTGGTATCCCTGGTGGTAGCGATGAGGAATCTTGGCGGGCAGATAGAGAGGATCATGAGACATATGAAGGCACGATTGGGGCGCCGGGGTGGTCTCCTCAGCAGAGGAGGGCGGCGCTGGCGAGGTGGCTTGTCGATGCTGTGGAGGATGGGAAGCAGGAATGGGTTCGAAAGATGCCTGCGATCACTGCTTTGGCTGGACGAGCCAAGCTTCGGTGATCTGTAAGTATGGTTTGGGAGAGTGGGAGCTTGCATGGGCACTCATGTTTAGGAAGTTCATTGAGCCTTGATGTGGATTGTATTATTTTGTGTGTCCATCTCCATAGCTAATGATATTTTTCTCTACCCTCTGCTAACAGCTGAAAACAAATCCGCATCCCACGTCAAATCTTGTCCACTGTATTCGCGTTGTGGACGCGATATCGAACACTCTTGGTGTGACCGGGGGGGG